CTCACCCGGAGCAACTCCAGCAAAGTAGAGTGTCCAACCCCTCTCCAGGTCTCGGGTTCCAGAGCCAATGCAATGTGTCGAGGTGAGTCCGACTATATCTAGCCGGTACCGCTCAACCTCTGCCACAAGCTCCGGCTCCTTCCCCGCCAGCGAGGTGACGTTCCATGTCCCAAAAACTAGTTTTCTTGTCCGGGGATTGGACCGCCAAGGCTCCCGCCTTGGTCTGCCACCCGATTCGCATTGCACCGGACCCTTCATGTTCCTCCTGCGGGTGGTGGGTCCACAGTTGGACGAGCCCATGTATCCGGTTCGAGCTGGGCCCGGCCGGGCCCCATGGGCGAAAGCCCGGCCACCAGGCGCTCGCTCACGGGCCCCAACCCCAGGCCTGGCTCCAGGGTGGGACCCCGGTAACCCTCCGGGCCGGGTACTCCGACTCTTCGTTTTAACCGCCATGAAAGATCCTTCGAACCGTTCTTTGTCTCACCCTTCACCTAAGACCAATTTGTCATGGGAGACCCTACCAGGGGCACTAAGTGCCCCAGACAACATAGCTCCTAGGATCATTAGGGCACTCAAACTCCTCCACCACGATAAGGTGACGGTTCAAGGAGGAGTTTTTTTTTTTTTCACTCTTATTTGCAAATATCTTTATTCTATTTTTTAAGTGAAAGACTGGGTTTAGTTGGACTAAAAAAATCTAATCTAAACATTTGCATCTCTCACACTGACGATTGACCTCCATGCCTCGCCCTCCCGCTCCTGCAAACAATCCCATGTCATCCTCTTTTCCTCGTCTCTTCTAGACAATTATAAACACCCCACTCCTCACTTACCATCAACAATTAAACCGCACAGATGCAGGCTACTTCAAAGGCAGAGATGAGACAGAGACTGAAGTGGGAGGAAACAAATCTGAGTGGAATGAAGTCAAGCCGACGGTGGCGGAGAGGGAGGCAGGCTGACAGAACAATTAAGGTTTTTAATTCTCTGCTTGAGTAGACCAGGCCAGTCTTTATGCTAATTAGGATGCCACAACCATGTAATAAAACTCCATGATCCAGCCTCATTTCCCTTCAGTCTTTGAGACACACAAAGTTCATCCTTCATCGTAAGAGTTCTGATAAAAGTGGTTGATATTCTGCCCTCCTCCCTGAGAGCCGGAGCTTGTCTGCACACACGGTTTACTGGTTGGACATGCGTTGTCTCGTGTAGTTTCCCTCCCTGTTAACTCCCTTTATTAGTGTTTTTCAGGAATGTGGTTCGAATGTCTTGCACCGCTAGCCTCCAACGAATACACGCGCACACATTAACAGCACTGACACACCGTGGATATTTTCTGTTGCTCTTCATCTCCATTTGACAGACACATCTAATGATAACAGCTGCAGATCGGCCGGGGAAAGCAGCACAACAATCCTCAGATAATTGGGAGGACACATTTTACGATGGCGAGAGAGAAAATGAGAGGGATGGATAAGTGGACAACGGCAGGCCGTTTGTTAAAGTAGCATATATATTTTCGCCCTCAATTAGATCACAGGGACTCGCACTGGTGTCTTTATTTTTCTTTCATATAAAAAGTCTCAAAACCAATTTACACACAGAATAAATGCTAAAAAAGCAAAGGAAATCAGCCACTGGTTCACATTCATTAAATGAAGGTAAAGTCAGTTTCAAAACAAGGAAGGTGAGTTGTTGTATTTTTGTTGTTTTTGTTTTTTTTTTTGGGGGGGGGGGGGGGAGGAATTCACAAGGAGAACAACTAAATCAACCATGTGCACCTTTATGACTAAGCCTCATGTTGGTGTTTCTTGAAAAATCTTCTACTCTCATCTGATGGAATGTTGTTTTTACTTCATTTTGTTTCACAGCGTCGCGGTCAGACTTCTTGTGCAGCATGAGGGTCGAAATGGCCACCACTCCCACCACCAAGGCCATGTGAAGCAGGTACAGGACAACATGGAGGCACGTCAGAAAAAGGGAGATGAGGATCATGGCGACGCACCAAGGGACAGTCAGGATCAGCAGCAGGGACTGATGGAGAGCACCGAGGACAAGAGACGGGAGGGACACGACAAATCTGAGCAGCGTGGAGGTCATCCAGGTGTACAGAGACAGAGGGGATAGGAGGACAGAAACCACCGCCTCACTAAGGGATACGGCCTAGGAGTGGAAAAGTACAAGAAAAAGAAAGCTGGCCTTACTTTTCTACATGCAGCTAACAGAGTCCTTGTTTGGTCATTGGAGGGTTGAGTTTCTCTTCATCCGCTCAGGTTCTTATTGTTTATTTGATTACTGATGCGGTTTAGAAAACTAAAACATAGTGAATGCTCTTAAACCGAAGGAGATTTGAGTTTAGTTTTTCTTTTTCTAATCCCTCAGATTTACAGCAGAGCAGAAGAGTTTACAGCACGTCTTCATTGACCTACCTCACAAACATTTCCACTGGTGCTTGACCTCTGGGCCTTCTGCAGCCCTGCAAAAAATAAGCAGTTTACAAGCGCGCCGACAAAATAACAAAAGGCACATATGCCTACCGGAAGAGAAACAGTAAAGGAAAACTCACATAGAAAAAGAAGAATGAGAGAAACAGCCAGAAGGAGCCTCATTTTTCACAGAAACCTGCAAAACACCAAACTGCAACAGCTGTACTAATCTGTCTGAACTCCACCAAGACCACAGTCAAACGTCAGTCTGATCACACGCCAGCTCAGCAACACTGTTGATTTTACTTACCCAACAGAGATGACTCACTCCCACAAAACCAGACTGCTCTGCAAAGTCTTTCCAGACTTAATCAACTAATCCTCTTTTTCTGTGACACAGGCCCACTTGTTCTGGTGTTGAAACAATCAGGAACTGATGACCGGCTCCAGTTTGAGTTCAGGGAATACAGGCGCCACCTGGTAGAAGGGAGGGACACAAACATGCCACGCAATGTCAAGATTTAATTCAACTTATAATTAATGAACCTGACATTTGTGCTAAAATAACTACATTTGGTTAAAGATAATCACAGAAAGTTAGTGCACAAAGAAAAGATTAGTTTACTTTTATCATCTTCTCCTTTCCAGAAACAAGAGCTTCTTCAGTTCAGACATAACTCAGTGTCTTTCACCTGATCCCAGAAGGAGTCATTATACCACTGGAGTGGACTGAGAAGGGCTTTTATTTTTGAAAATACACTCCAACCTTCACCTCTGTCATAAAAAAAATAATCATTTCACCTCCAAGCATCTTTCAGACTCCCATTAGGTTAAACCCCATCCTTATTATCAGCTGAACCCACAATTACCCCTTTTCCTCCCTGCTGAGACACCAAGGAGAACCTGCCACAAATCAGCTGCAGCACTGACGTTTTGTCTGGAAACACAACAGAGGGAGAATTATAGAAGAACAATAGATGGCTGCAGTTTGAAGGAGCTAGGTCAGAGCTACGGCACTGTGAAGGGCATTTCTTCTGGTTAGAGCAAACTTACAAAACTGTTTTCAAAGATTCATTCACAAAGGGAAAAATCTATGTAAACATAACGGACCCATTTGAGAAATCACCGACTACGATGAACTACGTTATCTGCAAAGCTGAATTCAGTTTTACTAGCCGTACCCAAAGTAGTCAACTAGACTTCTACAAATAAATCACTTTGGTAGAACCTGTCTGACAACATAAAAAAGGCTGAAAGACTTCAAAAAGAAACAAAAGAACCCTTTAAAAACTCACTTGGTTCAGGTTTAGTTCAGAGGTCATGTGTGCGTGTAAAAATGGCCTCTCATCTCACATTTGCCACAAAAAAAAACATTTTGACTTTTGGTCAAATATTCTGCAAACTAAAGACACAAGTGGAGTTGTTTAAAACATGTGTCCCATTACACAGGGTATCTGCAGGTTTAAGAGAGCCAAATTTAAGACTTTTTAAGACCTTTTTTAAGGCCACTTTGACCAAATTTAAGATATTTAAGCAGGGCAGCAGTAGCTCAACAGGTTGAGCGGGTTGTCCAGTAATCAGAAGGTTGCAGGTTCGATCCCGGCTCCGGACAGAGAATTCTGCTGTTGAGTCCTTGGGCAAGACACTTAACCCAACTTGCGTGCTGGTGGTGGTCGGAGGGACCGGTGGCGCCTGTTCTCGGCAGCCTCGCCTCTGTCAGTGCGCCCCAGGCCAGCTGTGGCAACATCATGGCTCATCCCCACCAGTGTGTGGATGTGTGTGAATGGAAGAATGATACTCAGTTGTGTAAAGCGCTTTGGAGTCCTTACTCTGAGAGGCGCTATACAAGTGCGGGTCATTTAAGCTATAATTTCCAGCTGTTGCCTGGAAGCGGTGCTTACCACGCCACGATCGTGGGATTAGCCAACCAGTTACCATTAAACTTCCCCAGTTAACGTGCTCATCTAAAAATAGCCCCCTTTCACAATCAACTGAATGTGTACGGTTCCGCTTACGCCAACATCGTACACAAAAAACGCTGAACACCAACTAGAAATTCACGAAAATTTTATAGAAATAAAAGAATCTTGTTTATTGGGTGTTTTAAGACCTCTGGAAACTGTATTTAAGGATTATTTGTCATTTTTAAGGATTTTTTAAATTTGGAAAAGCTAATTTAAGGCTTTTTAAGACGTTTTAAGGACCCGAGGATACCCTGCATTACAACCAACACTGCATTTGAGATAAACATAGCAAAAAAACACGACAGTGGCAGTGTGATGGTCTGGGGCTGCTCCGACAGAAACTAAACCACATTTCCAAATCCATAATTATAAAAATCTAACATGCAAAATAGAATAGACTCAGGAATCTTTAAATCAAAGTTTTCTGCTGACTCATGGAATCCTGAGGACAATCCAGCATCTTTTTAATATTTCAGTGGTTACTGAACTAAACGGCAATCTCAGCCGAAGCCTGTAAGAACGGGAGGAGGACGACAGTGTAAAGACACCACGGATGAATGAGTAATAAACATCTGATGTGAAGGGAGAAAACATATTACAATCAACTGTCTCAAACACAGAAACCATTTATTTTTGCTCCTTTTACTTTGTCAATAAAAAATTCAGACACCAAGCTACAGCGAAGATAAAAGATACAGATAAAATCAGACAAATGACAGTAAAACAACATGAAACAGCTGCAGACACGTTAAAATAAACAGCGATAGTAAATAAGTCTTTCTCTGTGTTATTCAGTCAAGTGCTTCACCTTTAGGGTGGAATAACAAGACAGGAAAACAGTTAGAGACTGAAAGGTGTGGTGTTACATTTCATACACGTTTAATTAGCTCATGAGAACTTATAGCTTAATCATTAGAGCAAAAAGAAGTAAAATACATAAAACAAAATGGGATAATCATGTAAACTTCATAAATCTTATTCTAGATATTAAACTATTCCAGAGGAATAAAGAACTTCTCCAAATGCACATCTTCTCCTGTCTGAACTCCAGTGTGGCTCTGTGAAGTCCGGTTACGGATAGAAAGCAGCATCTGTTTACTAACAGGCAGGGATCCTCCTGAGAGCCTGCCGGACTCAGATTCTGGACGTAGAAAGGATGTCCTCCACCAGGTGTTTGTAAACCCATGCATCTCCCTTTAGCCTCTGGCGGCGAACCCCGACAACCTCTGGTCTCTGCAGCAAGCACACCTCCAGCTCAAACGCCATGGTCACCTTACCAAAGTCTCCCCATGTCTGACACTTCAAGGTATACCTGTGTAACAGGTGACATACACACACACATAAATGCCAAAACCGTAGAATCTGATCAGGAGGAAGCAGAAGAACAGATGTGTGGTCTTACCCTTTTTGTGTAACGGCAACATTTTTCTCAGGCAGGATGGAGAGAATCTGGTTTAGGACCTGATCTGGATCGGTCTGACTGGTCAGAGTCACATTATACTGAGCCTATGAGAAGAGACAGCCCAATGACAATTCTTTTGAAAAGCAGATATGTGTTAACGTATGAATAATAAACCGTTTTAATCGTGTTTTTGTATGATGCAGGACAGACAGGTTGTTTTGATTATACCTTAATCCTTCGCGGGCCGTCACGCAGAGCTCGTCTTTTACTCGGGGTGAGCATGGTGATCACTTTATCAAGGCCTCTTTCCAGGGAGCCAAACACCTTCCCTCCTTTCTTCTTCTTTCCACTGTCTCCTGCAGCAGCCATATCTAGCGACCGACACCTGGAGAGCAAACATGACCTCACATAACACCAACCTCCATCACCCAGCAGTCTCCGCTGAAACCCCTCAGAGCCTTCATCCGTCCTGCCGTCCACTCACCTCCTCTCTGGACTGAACGTCAGCATCTCCGTTCCTGCAGAATCCTTGTTCTCCGCTGCTCTTTTTCTATTCTTCTCCTTTGGTGAACTGTCACCAGCTGACACACAAAACACAAGAGGACAATAAAGGACCACAGGAAAGCAACCTGTAGAAACTAAAGGGAGTTCGCTTGACTTTACTTTGGGGCCTTCTGAAGTGTGTTCGTGTAAAATAACTACAATCTTACCTGTAGTCGATAACCTCCTGAACTACAGTGTGTGTCTAGGGGGCTTAATGAGCTAATGGCTAGTCAGAAAGCAGCCAAAACCAAATTAAATAAATTACACACTCACAGATTTTACAGCAGTTAAAGTGAGCATTATTATCTTATAAATCTTTATGATTTTAAAATGTTTGCATTATTCGGTTATTCAGCAGAAATTTGAAGAATTCCTGCAGGATTCAACCCCTGAATGCATCGTGTTACATTTTGTTGCTGCTAGTATTCACACCTGGAAATAACCAGAGAGTCATTTAGATAACGGACAGGTGCTGTGGAATGTCACTTGGCCTAGCTCTTAGCTTATCAACTAGGGCTGCACAATATATCGCAAATATATCGTTATCGCAATATCAGCATGCACAATATGCATATTGTTACGTCCCCATTAGTGGGGTCTTTAAGTGAGTATGTGGTTGTTACTTGTGTTTATTTCATTTTGTTTTTATATGACATACTCAATGTGGAGCAACGGAGCAAGAAGGAAGAAAACTGTCAGGGGTTGAGAGCCAGGAAGAGCATCTCATCTCCATGACAACGGTGTCGGGGATTCCCCCTCAATGAACTCGCTGCAGTGACTTCCTCCAGGAACTCCGGTCGAAGCGCTGAGAGCGCAGCTGCAGGAGATAATGACCGATTACCGTATCTGTGCCGAGTGGATAAAGACGCCGTGAGATCTGCAGTTCAGGGAGCAACTCCTACCCATGAGTCGTCTCCCTGCTCCACGCTCCTGTTGAGACTTTTGCCTGGTAGAACTACAGAGAGTGCATTTAGTCTGAGGTAGATCCTCTGCACTTGCCAAACGGTGGTTATAGCTTTGTTAGTTCTCGTTATAGTTTGACGTGATCCAGATCATTGAGCGGGTGGTTTTGAGTTTGTTTTGGTTTAGACTTTAGCAAACGTTTACAGTATTAAGAGAACCTTTGGTAAGAAGAACACCCGCCTTATAAATGTTAACCTTTTGAGGTTCCGGCTAAACCAGAAAGCTGTGTATTTTTGTTGTGTTTTATTCCAGGAATTTTTCCCGAGTTCCTTTCAGTGTCTTGTATAAACCTGTGAGGTGGTTATATCCCCTCCATTTACTTTATTAAAAAGAGATTATTATTTTACAATCCCCCGGTCCTTCTTCTACCTTCTTTTATTTTGCTTTGCCCGGATCCTAGGTGAGGTCGTAACACACATCGCAAAGAACAGAAAAATATCGCAATGAATGGTCAGCTCAGATGTTTGCTAAACATAATGCACACTGTCGAATGAAAACATGATGTTTTTTTTAACAAATCAAATAGAGCTCTTCAACCATTTGACCAATCAGGTGGGTTCTCATAGGTTAGAGGCACGCCCCCGAGGCGGACGGCACTTCATTTAGATGGTTAGCAAACACCTGAGTTAGCTTTGTTCTGCTCTTTTTGCCGATTCTGCTTTTCCCGGGATCCACGGATTGTCTTTTCTTGTTTATTTTCATTTTCCCTTTCCTCACATGTTTAGCTTTTCTCATTTTGATGATTTTTTGTTTTGATCATTTTTGTTCCCGAGTTAAATTTGTATTTATCACAAGTAATATCGTCACCGCAATATTAATTACTGTAATTGAATTTCGCAGGTCTTCCTAATATCGTGCGGCCCTATTATCAACCTTGTCAGAATCACAAGCCTCTGAACACAGGCCGTTCCGGAAAATATGTAACTTTGTAAAGACGTAACTTTGCTTTTTCAGGAAGGCTCGCTTCACTTTCTAACCCATAAAAATCCTGAGTTTGACTCTTTCTGCATCCATCCATCCACTTTCAACCGCTTATGTCACGGGGGCAGCAACCTAAGCAGAGAGGCACGGACTTCCATCTCCCCAGCTACTTGGGCCAGCAGCTCTGGGGGAATCCCAAGGCGTTCCCTGGTTCAGCCAAGAGAAATAGTCCCTCCAGCATGTCCTGGGTCTCCTCCCAGTTGGACGTGCTCAATAAACCTCACCAGGGAGGCATCCTGGAAGCATCCTGACCAGATTCCTGAGCCACCTTAAATGGCTCCTCTCAACATGGAGGAGCAACGGGTCTACTCCTAGCCCCTCCCGGATGACCATGCTTCTCACCCCATCTCTAACCCCCAAATTCCACTACCTCCGCTCCGCTGCGCTCCGCTCCGACATGAACGCCGGAGCAAAATCGGTCCCGTTGTAGTCAATCAGAGCAATTCCACTACTGCGGCCGTGCTCCGGCAGTGCGGCGCCGTGCGCCGCCCTCTGTTCCGGCGTCCGGCAAAAATAGAATCGATCCTATTTTCGCCGGACGCCGGAGCACCTCCACAGTCAATGGACAGAAATCACAACCACCCAACAGGAAAAGGAGCAAGCACAATTTCCGTTTTTCACAATAAATCAATAAACAAAAGGTGTTTTTTGTTTCATATGAACAGGTTTAACAACTTTTAACAACTATCAATGGCGGCTGAAGTTTAAATGCACAAAAATAAGCCATAAATACAGTTTCCTCTATCAAAGTAGTCACACTTTGTTGATCCAAACACTGCTGATGTCTCAACACGAATGATGGGCAGATTAAACAGTTCATTTCGATGCTTCTCCCACACAACGGGTGTTTGGATCTAACTTCCGCGTTTATTGCTCGGACTGTATCGCAAAATCTCGAAAGTCCCGCGCATGCTTGTTTGCACCCCTCAGGTCTCCGCACCGGAGCGGAGCCGTTGTAGAGCGGGTACCAGTAAAAATTGAGTTCGGAAGCGAGCGGCTGCGGAAGGCGGGGGCGGACCGGAGCAGAGCGGAGGTAGTGGAATTTGGGGGTAAGGGAGAGCCCAGACTCCTTGCGGAGAAAACTCATTTCAGCCGCTTGTATCCTGGACGAGCCTCCATTGTGTTATCTCGTTCTTTCAGTCCCTACCCAAACCTTGTGACCATAGGTGAGGGTGGGAATGTAGATCAAAGGGTAAACTGAGAGCTTCGACTTCCAGATCCGCCCAGCAAGACAGACCGGTAGAATGCCCGCAGTACTGTAGACGCAGCACCTATCCGCCTATCGATCACATGCTCAATTTTTTCCCTCACTCGTGAACAAGATCCTGAGATACTTGAACTCCTCTACTTGATGCACGACCTCATTCCTGACCTGGAGAAGGCATTCTACCCTTTTCCGATTGAAAACCATGGTCTCGGATTTAAAGGAGCTTATTCTCATCCCAGCCGCGGATTGCTCCAACAAAAACAAGAGATTACATGCTGATAAAGCCAACAGGACCACATCATCTGCAAAAACCAAAGACCTGATCTTTAGGCCACCAAAATGGATCCCCTCAACACATTGGCTGTGCCAAAAAGTCCTGTCCATAAAAGTTATGAACAGAATCAGTGACAAAGGGCCTCAGGGAGTCCAACTCTCACTGGAAACAAGCTCGACTTACTGCCGGCAATGCAGAGCCAAGCTCTGACACCGGTCATACAGGGACCTAACAGCCCGTATCAAAGGGCCTGGTACCCCATACTCCCGGAGTACCCCCCAAGAGGTCCCTCAAGGGACACGGCTGAACGCCTTCTCCAAATCCACAAAAAACATGTTGATCGGTTAGGCGAACTCCTACGCACCTTCCAAGGGAGCCATTGCTCCCAACCACACCTCTCCAGGTCTCACTGTCGTTGCCCACACATAAGCAGACGGAGGCTACCCTGTTATTCACTCTCGATAAGAGCAACTCCAGAGTGGTGGAACGTCAAACCCCTCTTGAGGTAACTAGTTCCGCAGCCAGAGCCGTGCGTTGAGGCGAGTTCAACTGCATCTATCCAGAACCTCTAAAACTCGCATACCAACTCAGGTTCTTTCCCCACCAGAGAGGTGACATTCCACATACCGAGAGCTAGCTTTTGAAGCCGGGAATCAGAACGCCAAGGTCCCTGCCTTCGGCTAAGACCCGACACACAATGCACCTGACCCCTTTAGCCCCTCCCACGAGTGGTGAGCTCATGGGAAGGGGAAACAGTCTCTTCTTCGGGCTGTGCCCGGCCAGGCTCCATGGGTAAATGCCCAGCCACCAGGCGCTCGACATCAAGCCCCAACTCCAGGCCTGGCTCCAGAGGGGTCTATGGGCTGTTCTTTGTCTGATCCTCACCTAGAACCTGTTAGCCATGGGTGACCCTACCAGAGGCATAACGCCTCAGACAACTTAGCTCCTAGGATCACTGGGAGCTCCACCACAGAGGGGTTTGAGTGTCCCAAAGCACATGCAGCTTTATTTAAAAGCAAGAATTTCTCATATAGTTCCGATCTTAGAGCGAAACCTCATCAACTCCGCCTGCAGGAAATGAAATACCTAACTGTTCAGGTAAATGCTCTGAGCTTTGGAGCTGGTCGACTTTGTGAGCACAAAACTAAAATGAGCCTCAAATACACACACACACACACACACACACACACACACACACACATACACACACACACACACACACAGCTGAGCTTCAGCGGTGAGAGAACACATGTCACTACAGCCCATGTGGGACAATGAGCAAAGGGAGGAGACAGCTACACCTGTCATAACATACACCTGGGAATGGGCGTACACAGACCAGTGTGTGTGTGTGTGTGTGTGTGTGTACGAGCATGTCACAGGCAGTAACATGACTGCAGCTCACTAAACAAGAGGCAGCAGAAAGCGGAGGATTTAACACCGACTGGGTCAGTCGCAGCCAGTTTCTGCGGCTCTTGGCCAAAAGCTAACGAGGCTGGATGTGTGAGCAGAAACGTCGCAGTGACAAATAATTAGAGCTTTAATGAATCTCCATTCATATTAATGCCCTTCACTTACAGATAAGTGAACAGAATTAGCTTCCTGATGATTAGCTCACCTTTGAGTTGACAGTGATAAGTGTGTGTGTGTGTGTGTGTGTGTGTGTGTGTGTGTGTGTGTCCACTCTCAGCAGCGTAATGACAGCTAAATCACTAAAATTAGGCTTCTGGATAAGAACAACAGTAAAAAACTGTCTCAACAAATAAGTTTATTACCAGAAGACAATTTACTTGTAAATGAGCAGCATGTTGTGGTGACACTTGTGATTTGGAGGCCAGCAAGAGACTGAGGGGAATGGATGAATGGATGCAGGGAGGGACAGTTGGAAGGTTTTAATTAAATCTTTGGAAGAACAAACTGTTACAAAATAAAATTTCCACCTCTGACACCCAGAAATTCTACTAACCTCTAGGGGTTCCCACGCCGGGTTTGGCGACGCTTTCATTGGGCGTGGTCAACACATTCCTGTGTGGGCGTGTGCTCTTTTTACTGGACACGGGGGTGCGGGGGGGAGGCAGGGCAAACCTCTCCACCACCTTCTTTTCAGCGACGTTCTCCTTGTTCTCGCCCATTTGTTCGGGCTCCTTCTGCCTCTTCTTATGGTGGCGTTTCGTCATCACCCTCCCCCTCTCTGCCAACGGACTGGTATCAACGCTTCTTTCTGATGGTGACACCACCCTCTTCAGAAACATAAAAGGGAAACAGCTGGTGTCAGAATATATTTACACTTAAATATCTGGTACACTCTAGAATTTGATCCCTCTTTCCTTGAAAGTGACAAACTTTGAATTCTGTCTTCGTTTGAAACAATTAGAAGCAGCAAAAAGCTCCACGTGCCATTTCTCTGGTTGCGTTTCCATCTAGCAGACCTCTGACCCCCTGGGGTGTGTGCTGTTGAACCGAGACCCACGGGCAGTCTTCAAAGTAATCTGAGCAAAGGTCCAAAGATCCAATAATCACGGCATCGTCATCCTCATAGTACTGAAGAGCTCCTCTTGTCTGGGAGAAAAAGGTAAAAGTAAAAACTCTACATGGAAGCACAGACTAGCGCTGCTCTACCGTGGGAAGGGATAAAAACCTGTAGAATGACTTTAGCACGGCCTCTCTTTAGGTTGGAAAAGCCTTTCTAGAGTTCACATGTTAAGGAGACCACTACTACAGATTTTTGTCAGCAAGTGGCAGGGTTGAGCTGATAAACTACAAACAGAAAGCTGCACCACAGCACGGTGTGTAAGGGTCACAACTAAAAATGTCATGACTGACTAACGTCACATGATGCTGGTGTATTTTTCCCAAAAGACAAACAAAAGCATCCAAAGCAATTTATTAATAATTTTTGATCATTTGTGTGATGGTTTAGAGCCGAAATATTAATTAGAACAATCTCACAGCCTCAGAACTGAGAAGGCGTCCTAAAATAGGTGTTGTGCTGTTTTCTACCTGGAGTCCCTGATGCAAAGGAGAGTCCTCACAGAAGGCTGGCTCGGGACGCAGACGGACAGGTTTCCCCCTCCGCTTCTTTGTCAGCAGCAGCAGGTAGGTGGCGGTGGTTTCGTCATACCTCCACTGAGAGAGTTATGGTCTATTAAAAGGGTTTATTTCACAGAAACTTCAAACTGTACTAAGCTCACAAACATCTACAAGACCAAACTGACAGCAACAAGAAAACCACAGAGCAAACACACACACACACCTCTTTCACAAGCGCTGTGGTGACTTCTCTCGACTGTTTCATGTTGACTGCCATCTCTGTGATACAGTCTTCATCCATGTGGTCAAGCTACAAAGAACAAATGTGCTCACATAAATACTTGAAGGATATTCTCCTTACATGATTATGAGAACAACAACCAAGAACTAACATAATAAACTTCTGTTCACACCCTAAACCACTTGTCTGTTTTCCCTTTATGTAACTGTCGTACCGGCTGCTGGCTGTACCAATCTACAGGGCTGTTGTAGTCCTTCATCACCCAGGGATGGTCCAACAGCTGTCGGACTGTCAGACGTCGCTTGGGGTCCACCTGCAGGACAAACACAGAAACTACAACTCAGAAGGCAGGAGACCCTGACATCTAAAAGCTGTGATGATGATGCACATAGAACAAAATTAAAATAAGGTCCGATCAGTTTTAATGGATTTGCTGTAATTCAGCTAAAGGGCTACAAGTGATTTTATTATTTTTGAGAACTCAGAGAAAAAACTGGAGCGAAGCAGAGGGGTCAAAACATTAAAGACAAAAGAGCAACCGTACAGACAGAATACAAACCTGCATCATCTGGTTGAGGAGGAGGATGCTGCCAGGGGTGAGCCACCGTGGGTTCTCATATATTCCTCTCTGATGTGGATTAAAAAAAAAAGGTTTTAAAGTCTTGGACTTCCCTGTGCATAACTGACAAGAAATGTAATAAAAGCCGTGAATGATCTCACTGTAATCTTCCTGTAGAGAACCATGCAGTTGTCGTCATCAAAGGGGAGGTATCCACAGAGCAGTGCGAACAGCAGTACCCCCATACTCCATACATCAGCCTGGAGGTGACACATCACACAGCAGCATGTAAGCATCGAGTGCTACAGCTCAGCTGCTCTGAGTCAAGCACCAGTAAATACCACTGCGACACCATCAAAGCACCAAACTGTGAAACATGTGGGCAATAATCGCTCTTAATGGGAACAAATTAACTCAGTTGGTTTGAAATAAATCTTAGAAATTTGAAAACTATGTATTGAAACGAAGGTGTTTTACCTCTGAACCAATATATGCTTTTCCCTGGATGAGCTCAGGAGCAGCGTAAGCGGGGCTGCCGCAGCACGTTTTCAGCTCATAACCTAAACCTCCCTAGGTCACAAGCAACCACATCAGAACGTTAGATTTAGCATTTTTCCATCAGTCTGACAGAGAAAACCCAACATACCTTAGGTTTGGCACATAAGCCAAAGTCTATCAGCTTCAGATTATGGTCCTCGTCAATTAACAGGTTTTCCTAAAGTGGAAATGAACATTAAAGTCAGAAATATACACAACGGTTCAAAAGAGGAGTCACTCATTTGTTTCCAAGGAATCAGACTGGTAATATTTTATTATTTATGATTAATTTGTACATTACATCTGCAAAGGTTTTTGTTTGTTTGTTTTTAGTAGAATTTTCTTCAGTGAAGCCACGGACCATTTTCAGATGGAACATTGTGTCGCTGATGTTTTCTTTAACTCTAATTAACTCTGTGCTCTGAGGATGGAGCCATTGTCAGCTGAAACGTTTCTACTTAAAGTATGCTGTGTTTAGAAAAGAGCCAAGCGACGAAACCAAAGAAAACTGTTTGATTAGTTGAGGTGATTCCTACAGCGATATTAAATGAGATTATGCAGAAGGGAAGCATCTCTCAGATCTTTGAAGACCAACAGATCAAGATGAAGGATTACTAGAAAGTCTGACTACTTGAAAGCAAAATTCAAAGACACAAGCTGATTATAAACATTTACAGTGATGTTGTTTTTTTGTCACATCACACATGAATTTATTTTTACCGGTTTTAGGTCCCTGTGAGCATATCCTTGGCTGTGGACGTAAGCCATGGCCGACACAATCTGCCTGAAAAACACTCTGGTTTCCTGCTCCGACAGTCGGTCCTTTGCTATGATATAATCAAACAGCTCCCCACCAGGACAGTACTGAGACAAGGGGAAAATACAAGTGATTTAAATAGGTTAGGTCTCCTCAAACATGCTCTATGTCAACCGTTATTGTCCTCACCTCAAGCACCATGAAAATCTGCGTGGAAGTCTCTATGACCTGATATAGTCGGCATATATGTTGATGACTTAAGTTCTTCATGGCTTCGATCTCCACCTTCACACGAGGCAAGTCATCCTGTTGAGAAAACACACACTTCTTATCGCTGTATGGTGCCGGTGAGAGGTATAAAATACTTCGTTAACAACAGTCATCTAGATCAGATATGTAACAAACAGAGAACTGAAACTTTGACAGGCTTTTACTGGCATTTTTAAAATATTAATTTATTTGCCATAAATGTAAAGAAAAATCAGACTACTTCATGGAATTCAGCAACTAAATTAATGCAGCTTTATGTCAAACGTTTGTGATCTTTTAGTTGTGATTAAACACAGAGCAATGACAAAACAATCTCTTTTAAACTCACCCCTAGATCTTTTTTATTCATGATCTTAATGGCAACCTTTTCTCCCGTGGAGATGTGTCGACCCAGCTTGACTTTGGCAAAGCCACCTGAAGCAAAAACATGATTTAGAACAACTGCCGGGAGAGAAATGGTACAAGCACAGGTAGACGGTGGCGTTTACCTGAACCGATAGTCTCATAAACCTCATAATATCTGTGAAGCTCTGCGGCTCCACGGTGCTCCGTTCTTTCCACAGGCATTATGAAAATCCTCACTGCTAAGTGAGAAACATTCAAATCACCTACATGTTGAAATAAAAACTGGTAAATTTATTAAAATGTATTTCTCAGTCGCTAGCATTAAAGGCTAAGTTGCAAACAAAATGCGTAAAACGTAGCCAATAGTTGTTTATGCTAATATAAGTCACAAACTATAGTATCTGTATTGAAATATATGTCCAGATAAATGAAATACTCTTCTCGACGATGGTACATTACCCGAGTTAGTGAAAAAGAAGGGAAAAAGCACGGACCATAGGCTGTTGGAGCGTACAAAAGAACCCTGGAGCAGGGATGTTTGGTAGAGCAAGTTTGAATTTCGCACTGACGTTGATGGCATTTCCTGCTTCCGGTTTGGGCTTTCCCTGGCGGTGAACCGCGGTACTGCAGCCGACAAACAAAGCTTTGCCAGTTAAAGTAAAAGATAATGATTATTTATTCATATATTATTAACAAACAAAAAGTAAATTAATGAGAATATATATATGTGTGTGTGTGTGTGTGTGTGTGTGTGTGTGTGTGTGTGTGTGTGTGTGTGTGTGTGTGTGTGTGTGTGTGTGTGTGTGTGTGTGTGTGTGTGTGTGTTCATCCATAGTTAAGACCATCTGTGTAATCTGTATTTGAATGTAATTTGTATTTTAGTGGAATGATAATGTGGCCTCAGCCTGAGCCAGCAGCCAGCTGCTTTAGTTTATTCATCTTATTAATCAATTTGTGGTGTCTTAGGTGGTGTTTTCCAAATTAGGTACACTAGGCACCAACAATAATTAACTAGTTCAAGAATTAACACATTTGTTGCACATCTTTTCCTTTGAGCAACTTTCACAAGCCTCTCAGAAATCCTTACAAAGCCATTTTGCAAAGATAAGGGAAAAGCTATAAGTACATTGCTGCTAAATGTATTGGGACAACATACCTAATCAGTGAATGAAAATGTAGGCATTCCATTGAAGTTTACAGTCATCTAGGAAGGCTTTCCACATGTTTTAGTGTTTGCAGATTTTTTTTTCTGTTTACGGATCACATTTGACCCGGCACACACATTGCTCTAATTCATCCCAAAGGTGGGCGTCAGAGCACTGTAAAGATGAGTAAAGTCCCTGCACATTAAACTTACATATATTATTTGAACACTTAAATGCAGCAATTTGGTTTGGTGTCCCAGTGCTTGGGGCATCTATATGGTAGGGGAACATCAGCCTATTAGCCAACATCCTTGTTTTGAAAACAGAATTTCCTTTGTAATGCTTGGTCACATCTTTATATCTGGACTTTCAGAATAACCCAAATGTGGAGCTGAAGGTTATATGCATGGGTTTTTGCTGAAAGGCTCCTGACCAAGAGAGAACAGGTCCATCAGATGAAGTTCTGTTTTTATTGTTGAAAACATTTTAAAGTGTGGCAAAAAGTATTTAGTCAGCCTCAATTGTGAAAGTCCTCCCACTTAAAAAATGAGAGGCCTGTAATTTTAATCATAGGTATACTTCAACTATGAGAAACAAAATGAGAAAAAAATTCCAGAAAATGATTGTTTGACTTTTAAATAATTTATTTGCATATTATTATGAAAATAAGTATTTTGTCTCCTATAGAAACAGGCAATATTTCTGGCTCTCATAGATCTGTAACTTCTTCTGTAAGAGGCTCCTCTTCAATTCAATTCAATTCAATTCAATTTTATTTATATAGCGCCAAATCACGACAAGAGTCGTCTCAAGGCACTTCACATAATAAACATTCCAATTCAGGTCAGTTCATTAAGCCAATCAGAAAAAAATGTTTCCATTTCATCAAGTCACTGACTAGTGACAGCAATTCTCATACTAAGCAAGCATAAAGCGACAGTGGAGAGGAAAACTCCCTTTTAACAGGAAGAATCCTGGCTCAGTATAAGCAGCCATCCACCATGACTCACTGGGGATCGAGAAGACAGAGCAGGCACACGCACGCACACACACACACACGCACGCACACACGTGCACACACGACAAAGTAATGGGTCTATAGTTATATTGTGATTTCTTAGTAAATATTCTATTTGGTGAGAGATAAACTTTATTGTATTTATCCTAGTGGATCTATAATTAATGGATAAACTAGTAGTAGCACATCCAACGTCAAGAAAGCAAAAAGTTATTATCAGGAGAGAGAGAGAATGTTTAAGTGGTTAGCAGCAGTGTGCTAGACAATGGCCCCCTCCATGAGGCCACCACAGCTCAGCAGAACATCATTGTAGCTTCTTCTGGGGAGAAAAACACTTAGAGAGAAAATAAAGTTAACAGCTGAAATAGCAGGAAATAATACAGTTAAAGAGCAGATAGTAGAAGAAAGTAGTAGAGTGTGGAAAGTGGTCAGTGTATCCTCCAGCAGTCTAAGCCTATAGCAGCATAACTACAGAGATAACTCTGGATAACCTAGCCTTTTAGAAGGAGGCATGTTGGAGGCAGGGCAAGGGAGAGCCGTCTTTACCGACTGTACACTCCACCTCCCTCTACTCCCCCACTTGTCCAGATTTAGGCTAACATCAGATTTTAACCATAGGCCCTATCAAATAAAAATGTTTTAAGCCTATTCTTAAAAGTAGACAAGGTGTCTGCCTCACGGACTAAAGCTGGGAGCTGGTTCCACAGGAGAGGAGCCTGATAACTAAAAGATCTGCCTCCCATCCTAATTTTAGATATTCTGGGAACCACCAGTAGACCTGCAGTCTGAGAGCGAAGTGCTCGGTTAGGAACGTATGGAACAGTCAGATCACTGATGTATGATGGAGCTTGATTATTAAGAGCTTTATATGTGAGAAGGAGGATCTTAAAATCTATTCTGAATTTAACAGGTAGCCAATGTAGGGAAGCTAAGACAGGAGAGATATGATCTCTCTATTTAATTCTCATCGGGCCTCTAGCTGAAGCATTTTGGACAAGCTGAAGACTTTTAACTACATTCTGTGGACTTCCTGAGAGTAATGAATTACAGTAATCCAGTCTTGATGTAATAAATGCATGAACTAGTTTTTCAGCATCACTCCTGGAAAGGATGCTTCTAATCTTAGCAATATTCCAAAGTTGGAAAAAGGAAATCCTACAAACCTGTTTAACCTGGGATTTGAATGACATGTCCTGGTCAAAGATAACACCAAGGTTCCTTACTTTGTTCTCGGAGATTAATGTAATGCCATTCAGGTCAGGTGATTGACTAAGCAATTTCCTTTTCTGGATTTCTGGTCCAAAGATGAGAACTTCCGTCTTGTCTTGATTTAAAAGCAAAAAGTTTAGAGTCATCCAATTTTTTATGTCCTCAAGACAAGCCTGTAATCTACCTAACCGATTAGGTTCATCAGGGTGGAGGAGTTTGAGTGCCCTAATGATCCTAGGAGCTATGTTGTCTGGGGCACTTAGTGCCCCTGGTAGGGTCTCCCATGACAAATTGGTCTTAGGTGAAGGGTGAGACAAAGAACGGTTTGAAGGATCTTTCATGGAGGTTAAAACGAAGGGTCGGAGTACCCGGCCCGGAGGGTTACCGGGGTCCCACCCTGGAGCCAGGCCTGGGGTTGGGGCCCGTGAGCGAGCGCCTGGTGGCCGGGCTTTCGCCCATGGGGCCCGGCCGGGCCCAGCCCGAACCGGATACATGGGCTCGTCCAACTGTGGACCCACCACCCGCAGGAGGAACATGAAGGGTCCGGTGCAATGCGAATCGGGTGGCAGACCAAGGCGGGAGCCTTGGCGGTCCAATCCCCGGACAAGAAAACTAGTTTTTGGGACATGGAACGTCACCTCGCTGGCGGGGAAGGAGCCGGAGCTTGTGGCAGAGGTTGAGCGGTACCGGCTAGATATAGTCGGACTCACCTCGACACATTGCATTGGCTCTGGAACCCGAGACCTGGAGAGGGGTTGGACACTACTTTGCTGGAGTTGCTCCGGGTGAGAGGCGGAGGGCTGGGGTTGGCTTTTTGTTAGCCCCGAGACTCTCTGCCTGTGTGTTGGGGTTTACCCCGGGGGACAAGAGGGTAGCTTCCTTGCGCCTTCGGGTCGGGGAACGGGTCCTGACTGTTGTTTGTGCTTATGGGCCAAATATCAGTTCAGAGTACCCACCCTTTTTGAAGTCCCTGGGACGAGTGCTAGATAGTGCTCCATCAGGGGACTCCATTGTCCTGCTGGGGGACTTCAATGCTCACGTGGGCAATGACAGCTTGACCTGGAGGGGTGTGATTGGGAGGAACGGCCCACCTAATCTGAACTCGAGCGGTGTTTTGTTATTGGACTTCTGTGCAAGCCGCAGTTTGGCCATAACGAACACCATGTTCGAACATAAGGAGGCCCACCGGTACACTTGGTACCAGGGCAGCCTAGGTCACAGGTCGATGATAGATTTTGTAGTCGTATCATCTGACCTGCAGCCGTATGTTTTGGACACCCGAGTGAAGAGAGGGGCGGAGCTGTCAACTGATCACCACCTGGTGGTGAGTTGGATCAGATGGCAAGGGAACATGCCGCGTAGACCTGGCAGACCCAAACGCATAGTGAGGGTCTGCTGGGAACGCCTGGCAGAAGAACCTGTCAAGACGGTCTTCAACTCCCACCTCCGGCAGAGCTTTGACCACATCCCGAGAGCAGTGGGGGACATTGAGTCCGAGTGGGCCTTGTTCCACTCTGCGATTGTCGAGGCGGCTGTTGCTAGCTGTGGTCGTAAGGTGGCCGGTGCCAGTCGTGGTGGCAACCCCCGTACCCGCTGGTGGACACCAGAGGTTCGGGGAGCCGTCAGGCTGAAGAAGGAGGCCTACAGGGCGTGGCTGGTCTGTGGGTCTCCGGAGGCAGCAGACAGGTACCGGATAGCCAAGCGGGGTGCAGCAGTGGCAGTTGCCGAGACAAAATCTCGGGCGTGGGAGGAGTTTGGTGAGGCCATGGAGAAAGACTATCGATCGGCTCCAAAGAGGTTCTGGCAAACTGTCCGGCGCCTCAGGAGAGGAAGGCAGCAACTCGCTCACACTGTTTACAGTGGGGATGGGGAGCTGCTGACGTCAACTGAGGCTATAGTCGGACGGTGGAAGGAATACTTTGAGGAGCTCCTCAATCCCACCAATGCGCATTCCGAGGAGGAACCAGAGCTGGGAGGCCTGGGGATGGACTGTCCGATCTCGGGGGCAGAAGTTGCTGAGGTAGTCAAACAACTACACAGCGGCGGAGCCCCGGGGGCGGATGAGGTTCGTCCTGGGTATCTCAAGGCTATGGATGTTGTAGGGCTGTCATGGTTGACACGTCTCTACAACATTGCGTGGTCATCGGGGGCAGTTCCTAGGGAGTGGCAGACCGGGGTGGTGGTACCCATCTTTAAGAAGGGCGACCTGAGGGTGTGTTCCAA